AACTGTCACTCGACAACGAGGAATTTGACGTTTAGCAGCGCCACCATCGGTAGTTGAACTGGCAAATTCAAAGTTGTACCTGTCAAGGGTCTATTTTAGTCTGTAGGTCTATGCTGACCACGTAGCTCTACTTCTGCTCTTCTTCCTCCCGTTTTCTTAGATTTTACCGCCCGGTAACAAACCCGCCCTGGCACCGACGGCGACCAACCAAACGCCCTAATCCTGACATACCACCTTACAGGCCGTTAGCCAGCATGGCCAACCCGGATGCCTTCAGTTTCACATCGGAGAAGCCCATGGAAGACATCCTGACTCTGGACTTGGGTTCGCAGTTCCCCCACTCCAATGCGGATCAGAGCGCGCTGGGCGCCCCTAGTGGAGAGGAGCTGGAGCCGCCAGGCAATGGTGCAGCATCCAGATACCCGGCGAAAAGTGTAGATTACCCGCAGTTGTTTTTGCAGATACCCAGGAGACGACTACCACCGTGGTGGAGCAGCTGGATCTGGCGTTCGAGCGCAACAAGGAGAAGAATCCGAAGCCGGAGAAGAGCACCAAGGTAGTTTTCAGGTTTTCAGTGGCACCCGTCCAGGATTTTTGACATCCCCATTTGATTGCCAGGTGACTTTGGTTACGCCCACCATGCAAACTGGGCTCAGTATCCTGGAAACGCCCATTTCGCTGGTAACAGAGGAGTCCAGCAGGGTGGAAGACCCGGCCACTATAGCGCCCAGCGCAGTTTCGCAAACCATCATTCCCACACTGAGCGTTGAGGCCTCGAATGCTTCCTCCGTAAGCATTTTGGCGCCTCCCTTGGAAGCCTCCATCGAAGAGGTGGGGACGACGGCCACTCAGACCATGGCCACTCAGCAGCTGCCTTCAACGTCCACTTCAAGCGTGCTGAACGCTTCGTCGGCCGGTAGGAGGACTGGGTTCGAGTAGGGAATTGGGGGTGATGAGCGTTGTTTCCAGCTTCTGCTTCCAGCGACTTGCCGTATCAGCCCTATCGACCCCGGCCGGGAATCGTGCTGGATGACACTGAGTTCAAGCCGGGAGGCAGCCGACAGCCCATCATCACCAGGCCGCCTCTGAGCGCCATTGGCGACATTTTCGACGTCACCGTGTCGGCTGTGCAGGGACCAGGCGAGCCCTCAGCTGCCCAGGGCCGCCCCTACGTCATCCCAGGTAGGCCATCTTTGGTTGGCAACCCCCTAGTGATGCGCGTGACTGATCTTCACTTTGCCTAGTGGACCTTGACAACCCCAACGGGCAGAGCGACGTGATCACAACCCCAGTGGGGAGCGACGGGTTTGTGTCAATCGACGGCAAGCGCACCTACCTGAACCTGTTCGGCGACAATCCGGAGCCCACATCAGTGGCGGCGTTGGGAGTCAAGCCGAGCGCCCCTTCCAAGAACCAGGTGGTGCAGGGCACCAGCTATGTGGAGCCCGACAAGGCCAAACCCAACTATGGATCGGTCAAGCCGGCGCAGCGGCGCCCCAGTTTCGGCCGACCGAAGCCCAGCCAGCCCCCAGTTAGGTAAGAGTCCAACCTATGAGGAATGGCTGATAAACATGGTTGATAAACCAATACAAGCCTATAGTAGTGTGTCTTTCGGAGACTCATGATACTAATGACTATGCACATAGTGAAATAGACAGTCAGCCCTGTGCTGTATCACTCACGTTAACTGTAACGTGCATGTTATCCGTCAAACACGTTATGTGGCTCCAACTGGTGTGTTGGTCCAACCTTTATATTGTACTGTGGATGGCCGAGTATCAAACTCTTTCTTCAGCTTACAACTTTTATTCCACTCGGTATCGTTTTAACTACGGAACAGGAACATACTAACTTCAAAATTATGGAAAACTCGCTTTTCCGACTCACGGGGTTAAATCTCTTCGGCACCCGGTCGTTGCTGTCACTTCACTCTCTCTGTCTGGTTCCCCTCGTCGCTTATATAGTTTCCTCCAGCTAACCCAGATAGTTCTCGAAATCTCCAGAAGAGGTGCAAAACTTCTAGCTAGCAACCGCTATTATGATTATTATTGTATATGTAACTGGTGGGCTTCCAGGATTGACACTTGCATAGTGGGCGATGACTCAACCTGCGACGTGTCCCAGCACGAGATCTGCCGCACCGAGTCCGGAGTGAGCGCCTGCCATTGTCGGCCAGGGACGGCGCGCAGGAAGCATCGCGACCCCTGCAGGAAAATCGTGTCGGTCCTGCTGTCGCTGCGGGTGGACCGGATCTACGAGCGCCGCATCGTCTGGGCCAACGAGCTGCTGGAGAAGAGCAGCGAGAGCTACGAGCAGCTCGCCTACGAAGCGGAGCGGGCGGTGCGCCGTTGATTAAACTCCCCCAACTCGCCTGCTCATCAATCAATTTCCAGCTGGAGTCCGCCATGTCCATGACGCCCTTCAGTGACGAGTATCTGGGCGCCTCGGTGAACAACATCTACCAAGGAGACCGCGCCCAGGGCCAGGCGGGGGTGTTTGTCAACGTCACGCTGCAGCTGGAGGAGAACGCCGACACCGCCCGCCCCTCCGTTAGGGGCGACATCCAGAAGCACCTGCTGGGCGTGATCCAGAGGCGCAGCAACAACGTGGGCAACAGCGCGCTCTGGGTGGACAGTCCGCCTGGATCCGTTTCCAGTCTCCAAGGTGGGACCCTCTGAAGCCCCGAAGGGCTTCAGTGAGTATAATGGGGGTTTCAGATCTGGACGAGTGCTCTTCGCCAGAGCTGCACGACTGCCACCTGCAGGCCGACTGCATCAACACCTTCGGCAGCTTCAAGTGCCAGTGTCGCGCGGGCTTCAGAGACCCTTGGCCGGACAACAAGCACAGAGCCGGGCGCCACTGCGAGCAGTGCTCCCCTGCCCACTGCAACAACAGGGGCGAGTGCCGGTATCAGAACGGACTGGAAGTTTGCACGTGAGTAGCCAGCTGGGGAGAAAACTGATTATCGAAGCTCGGATGTCCGCAGTTGTACTGGAAACTACTACGGCAGCCAATGCGAGCTCGATGGCGAAGTTCTAGGAGTGGCCATCGGGGCCAGTGTTGCCGCCATCATCATCATAGGGCTTACGCTGGTGTGCTTGGTCATGTGGAGGTAAGTGCGCATTGGATCATCGGCATCGGGGACAGCCATTTGACCAATGGGGTTTCAGCCGGAAGTGGAGCCGCGAGCAAAAGGCGGCCGTGGGCAGTCCGGTGTTCGGCTACATGGCCACAGCCGGCAACACTGTCAAGACGCCCGTGGTGGGCGCGCCTCCCTACCAGCTCACTCTAGAAGATCGGCTGCGCTGGGCGCAGATCGCCGACGTCATGGCCCAAGCCAACCATTATGCCGTAAGCTTTCGAGGTTGCCTAGCAAACTTTGACATCATATGCAAAAATATGCCAAATAAAGCTTAACAGACTACGAAGGCTTTCACGGCCGGTTAAATTACATTTAGGAATGTTTTTCGGTTCCGCTATGTTGATGACACTTTTGTTGTTTGGGGCCATGGTCTGACTGAACTGGAAGACTTCCTGAGGCACCTCAACTCAAT